GCGTACATGGGACTTCATACTCTTTCGGCTCAGCAAAGCTGAAAGAAAGATAAATTAAGGTAATGTTATTGAATACGCAAAATATGGCTTTTCGGGATATTAAATGACACTCCTGCCACGGCTGTTCTCTCCTGTGACAGTATGTTATCGCCTGCTATGTTAGATTTATCCCTTCGTATTTGGAGTCGGCTATATATATGTAATGTTTGGTATATATATTATATGCTAAGACCTCGAGAGTATTGCTCCTGTAGCTCAGTTGGTTAGAGCGGTGGTCTTATGAGCCGCAGGTCGTGGGTTCAAACCCCTCCTGGAGCACTTCTTATCGTAATTTATGAAGTTTGTCGGCCACTCACTTAAAGCTTTATATCGACATTCCGTATGCGCCAGAATAGTTTGACTAAGCGAGCGTCTCCTTGTACTCTCGAACGTCTGCAGCGCCAATCACCACATAAACAGCTTTTCTGAAAACGTCTTTTGCCTCTTACCTACTGGGTTTTTCTTCCTCTAGCGGCGGTGCTGAAAGCTATAAATCGGTGTCGTACACTGTATAGGCGACGCTAACTATTGTAGATGAAAACTGCGCCTAGCCTAGAATATTGTTTGCATTACATTTAGTCAGTTTCGAAAGCATATATGTCAATAAAAGCCCTTGCTCAGCGAACTTTAAGGGAGAACGAGGTATCAGGTTGAAATAAAAGTTGAGTGAATAGCTTGCGAGATTAATTTAATAAGTGAGTGAGTAAATGAAAGTAGTTCAACCGTGAGCGAGTAAGGAAAAATGAGTGAAAGGGCAAAGCAGTAATCATTCAGTGTGGGTTTGTGTTTGCAATACCTTGGAAATTAGATATCTCGCTTTTAACATATTGAATCAGGGATACTTTTTTTACTAAAATTTAGAAAGCTCATAGAATAGATAGTAAATCAGAGCAGCGGGTTCTAGCGAGTACACTTTACTGGTAATTAGCGTTTAAACTCTCCATTTCATGCCATCGATAGGTGATCGATCTATTGACATTATGCCCGTCTTTTTTTACAAGCTCGCCGCTTGGATTACGCTCGCTTTGCCCATTGCAGCCGACAACCTCCTATCCTAATAACATGCTCACTAGTGCTCATGTGCTGCCATTTATATGTCGCTCTTCGTCGCGCACAGCTACTAGATCTTGTGTGTTGTTCTTCGTATTGTGATTCTTGTGCTACGTCTTCCTCTCCGGCAACGCAGTAGAGAAAGTCAAAGTTGATCTTCGAATTGTCCAGATTAAACTGGCTACGACGACGATTCGGGAAATCATGGTCGTAACGCACCACACCAAGCTTCTTTTAAACAGGTCGCACATTACGACTCGCCGAATCAGCTTGTCGGGTTAATGATCGACAAGCAATATTTAACGACCTAAGATACGCCTAGTATATATTCAGCGGAGCCAAGACTTAACAAGGAAATACTCGACGAAATGTAACTCTACAATAAATATTCGGCGGTAACTATTTGAAGAAGCCAGATTCGACGTATAATATTCAAGATTCGACTAGTCAATACTTGATGAGGCAACATTTGATTATTGAACATTCCATTAGTTAACATTTGACGAGTCAAAACTTCCCAGCCCAAGACTCCATGATTCAATACTCGACGAATCATTACTAGACAAGTCAGTTTCTGACGATCAGCCTCGGCATCCCAAAATTCCCGACGAGTATTTGGAATCGACAATTATATCAATAAAGGTGGTCGAAAGATAGTGCTCGAATAACGTCACCGTCTCGGGTACCCGGCAAAGGCTTGAGCTTGGCCATTGTCGGATATAGCCTTTAAGGGTCCAGCTATGACGCTGAGGAATTGCTGGCATAGCCTTTTCCAATCACAACAAACCTTCTATCGCTACCGCTACTCACCCGAAAAAAACATTTACCCTGCACTCCCTGTTTGCTTTAAAGTTTGGAAAGTTTTCAAAGAAGTGTTTTCGAAACGTAAGTCTTATTACCAACATTATGTGTGTCCTTACCTATCAGCATCCTGATCTGCTTTAGCTCCTTGCTCCTGCACGATGTTAGCACGAAATGTGCTCACCTACCGTCTTTTCTGTTGCAAACCAAAATATATAAACATAGGATAATCCTGGGAAACGGCAGTTTCTTGATGGCTTGGGACCTGGCAGCAATTTTATTCAGTAAAAAACCGTTTCCAACACTCCTCCCCAGGGCCCACGTTGATTGAAGCCCAGCGATAGTACGCAAAGCTTGTAGTCGAGGCGCTGGGTGGCTTGGTCAGGGTGTCAGCCAGCATGTCGTGCGTATTCACGTAGGTCAATTTGATTGCGCCTTGCTTGTATTAATCACCAATTAACTTTAAGCGCACGTCAACATGCTTTGCCTGGCTTGATCTTGCTTCATTTTCCACTGGTTTGATAGCAGCTTGGCTGTACATTGTTATGAAAGTTGGAAACGCAACCTGTAAAATCCAAGTTTCAGCCAACCTCTCTAAGCCAAGAATATCTAGGCGCCAATGGATGCAGCCACATACTCCGATTCAACGATAACGCCACTGCCTTTTGATTCTTACAATGTCATCCCATGAATTAAATAATTCCGCCACATTCGTACTTTCTGTCTTGCTTATCTCCAGCAAAATCAGCATCATAAGAACATTTGATGCCTAGCAGTATATTTTTTTGGCCACCGTCGTAATTTATATCTAATTTGAAATCAGCACTCCAGACAAGTAGCGCACTATACGATTCGCTAGCTTTAAATGTACGATGGCTGGTGCGTGTGCACGTTGAGAAGCATGGTGTACAGCAAAAGATATGTCCGATCACGTGCAGCAAGCAATCCAGTGCAAACTTCCGAGCAGCGATTGATATGTCTTGATAGTCGGGCACTCAGGTGTACCAGGACCATTTGCCGGTAGTAGCGTCCCTCCTCCAAATTAATTATTATCTAGTAGGTCTATTTCCATCGGAGCTCGCACTGAGCTCGCTTTTTCGAGTCCAGCAACTCAAGGATAGCTGTTTCTTGATCAATCTGGTACTTGACTCGGAATCATAAAGAACACGCATTTTTTCAGAAATATTTCGGTAAGTCCGAGATTCTTCAGCTCAAGGCACGCCATTTGCAAGAAGAAAATGTCCGCACGCTGGATACTTGTTCCAGTCATTGAGTGATCATCCACAATAGCTTCCAGCAGGTTATGAGCCTAAAATTACGCATGCGCCACCTGGTATGGGTAAGCGCTGCTGCAAAAGTGTGAAACGAAGAAAATCGTGACAGAGGACTGAGTGAAATGGGTGATGGGCGCGAGTGAGACAGTTGTTGCTCAGGGAGGCCACGCGCACACAGAGAATAGATGGCAGCACCAAGCAGATTAACAACGAGCTGGTGCATCCGCAGTCGAGCTACGAAGCGGGTCCATAAAAGAGCGCAGAAGGGCAGCGATTCAAAAGCCATAAGGTCGACGGTCCGTGGACCATCAGACCGCCGACGAGTCAAGCGAGTCGTTGCGAGGACGTCGCTAAAGTAGGGTAAAGCTGTAAGGGCGCTCAAGGCGGCGCAAGGAATGTATGCATACGAGCATCTAGTGTCATGTACTGCTGACAAGAATGCTCAAGATGAGCAGTCAACGAGCGCGCTTTAGCGTCGGGTACCAAGTCGCACACTCTCAACGGCGAGAGGGGGTAAATGAATGGCCAGTCCCAGTCATGTTACTTCGTATCTAGCCGGATACTAGATGTACACTGACGAATTTTGCTAGCTAGTTCTAAAAAAGTACTTCTTGAATGTTAGATGCATAGGTAATCGTGTAACAGCGGAAGAAGCCGCTGCACTGAGAGTGGTCACTTTGCGATCGGTAAGACACTAAGGATGCCCACGGTGGCGGGCCGAAACGCGTCTGGTACGCGTCCGTAAGTAAAATCTTTTTTTCATGCGCTCTTAAATTTCAACACTTCCACACACTACTCATCCGTCAAAAGGTTGCCCAAGCTCCAGCCGTCTTCATCCACGTCCATCGTAAGCTTGACGCAATTGGCTTGCACCGCCGTATTATCCTAGACAAAATTGCACAGGTTCAAATCGAGCTTTTTGGGCAAGGGTAATTAAAAGGGTAATTAAATAATGCTTATGACAATTATGGTTACCTTCTTCCTCACAGTCAACTGTGCCTTCGTCGATTGCAACATGCTTGCGCTTCTGGTGGCGTTTCGACCATAGAATCTAACGATATTAAGCCGATTAATTCATTTCAAACAAACTTGAGGTAAAAGGATCGATGCTCACATTAGATCTTGGTTATCTCCTCATACGCAATCGTAAATTTTTTTCTTTAACTTCCTTACACATTTTTGCCAAGTGCTCAAGCATCTTCTCCGATCGAGCCGCCAATCCGCTCAGAATCTACGCTGTGTATTGTATCGATTGGTCTTGACAGCTTATACGAACGCGAGCAAAAACATATTTCCAGGCTTTCCCAAAGGGTTTCTCCCATTGACCGACAAGGTTTTGGCGTTCCTCACCATCGACAGTGGCCTGACCACATAACGTTGTTGCGGCACGTGAAGCTTTATATGAAGATACGTCACCAGACTCGATGAAGAGTTTGGTGGATCAGGGCAAGACCGTTCGTGTGCATGGCGGTCTGGGGGACAACTTCGTGATGAAAGGGGTAGGACTATCGGACGCGGAACACCAGTTTGGCATTCAGGCTCGGCTCAATCAAGTGGACAAAAATTCTGTGCTCAAGCGTCGTAGGCTTAGGGCGAATCACACCTGCCAAACTTAATCCTGCTCCAGCACCGAGACTTTGGCACACGTGCTCAATCACTGTTCACAGAATATGGACGCCATCCCGTAGTGACACGATGACGGATTAAAGGCAAGATAAAGAGCGCGCTCTTCCGCGCCAAGTCGATTACAGAGCTGCGCCTGAACCACACAGTCTCCGACTATACTGGTGCAGCTCTTCGTCAGAAATTGTGCTGCGAGACGCAGCTGCCAAGACGATGGTGATCGCCGACCTGGCGATCACCTTTGAAGACCATTCTGCAGGCGCCCGGCACTCTTCGCTCCAGCTCAGCCACGATTACAAGACACTCAAGTACCAACGATCGTGGCAGAACTGGAGCACAAGGGGTGGCGGGTGCAGACTGCAGCCATCGTCTATGGCTCGCTGGGCTCGGTGCAGCCCAGCAATTTCAAGACCTATACTGAAAAGCTCAAGTTGCTTAAGACCGAGGCTTGTCAGCTGGACCTTCAGCTGTCTAGCCACTGCATTCGTGCCAGCCACCGCATTTGGGGCTGGCACTGCAGGCAGCACAGGGAGCGACAGCATAGTGGAACCGCCCTGCGAGCACCGCATGGGTCTGGGGGGGCTTCGCGACACACATCCCAGTCGGTGGCACGACGGTAAGCTGGTCTTTATATCTGACAGGGCACTACCCATGTAGGGAATCGCCCTAAATAAACCCAGGTGGGTACTAAAAATCCTTCGTTTTTAGTGACATGCATAACAGAAAATTTTTATTAGTCGTGGAGAGATTACTAACTGGTAATATAAAGAACTCTTCTGTTCTAATCAGTGTGAAAACTGGTGTCCTGACTTTTATTTGGGGATTTTTCACATTCATTTTTGGAACTTCTATCGACACTAGCAAGCTAGTGTCGACGAAATGGTTTCCGGGGGCTTTCACAACTTCCCCCGCGAGGCCAACAACTATACCTGGTCCTTCTTCTTCAAATTAATTATTCTTTATGTATATTATGACAATAATAAATTATATAACTAACTTCTACTATAGAAAAAAAATGCTACAACATATATACACAAAACATCAGCCTATTGATATTTTACTCTGTAAAAGTCCACTAAGTGTTGCACAATTGTCCCCACCTAGCTGCTTTGGTAGAGCCTATTTCGCCACCCGTTGATTCTTACATGTCGCCTCAATTTCGAATCAAAATAGCACCAACGATTTAATGAATATGCTGTTAAAATTATTGTTATATTTTACTATCTTTCCACACATTTTGTATGCTACTGCCATATTGAAGAAAAACCCGCAAATTCGCACTACTCCATTTCGACGTGCCTTCGCAGCTATACCTTCTCTGTAATGGGGCACCCTCCGGCTATACTGATAACTGTATAGTGATTACAGTGAAAGTAGGTGCCTCGAAACCTCTCTTGCACAAAGAGGCAGAGGAAGCTTCACTTCTAAACAACACGCTTAGAGTTAGGAAAAAAGAGAACTGCATTTAACCTATAAACTATATAATACAACTAAATTATTAATAAATTTGTCTTAATTATATATAATTACAACCATGTATGCTACATTCGTGCCCTCCATTCATTGCTCGTGTCCATCGGTCATTGGTCAGCACCTTAGTTGATATAATAGCCTATATCAACCAGTTCAATGGCATTTCCAACTGTAAGGAGATGCAGGACAATTTTTTTAGATAAATGTAATATTGTCAGATATAATTAGCCATAAATATATTTATTTGGCATATCATATAACTGTCAACATTATGTAACGGGCTTGCCCCGTTACATAATCACATTAGTGACTGTTTAGTGACTATAGGAAAGGAGCACTTGTTGGGTTTTCTTTTATTCCAATAATTTTCACGCAATGACCAAGTCAATGCGCGTCGCTGCTAAGGCAGCTAAGAGCTCGGCTGCACGCCTGTGTGCAGCAGCTACTGAGGCTTCACAGCCTCAGCCAGCAGACACTAATGTGTCTGCTGGAATATAACATCAGCCTGCAACGCCTGTTGCAGGTTCACGTTGCGCTTCGCCACGTGAAGATGTTGACCCAGAGTTAGTCGTTGACTACTCTGGTGAGTCGGATGACTCATCCAACTCAAATCCACCTGTGTCACCCCCGGCCTCTCCTCGGGGTAATACCTCGTTGTCGAATGTTACGAAGAGGGATCGTGTTACATTGAGTGAATTAATGTACCGTGAAATGTTCGGGTCGTCTGATGAATCAGACGACTCGCCAAACGAGTCGAGAGATTATGACTTGATCAATAGATGCCGACAGCGAAGCGCATCTCCTGCACAAATTCTTGCAGAGATCGTTTCGCCTGTCGTTCTCCAAAGAAGAGCGACAAGAGTAATACTTCATTGTTAGGCGGCTGGTACATGGCACGAAACTTTGACTTAAAGATCGCCCATGATGGAAATGCATCAGCGTATGCCATAAGTGCAGAGTAAGCCCACCCTGACGCTTTGCCACGCAAGTTGGACATGACATACGGCACCGTTCTAGTGTCGTCTTCGATGAGCTGCGCCATGCCGCATTGCTCAACTGCTAATAGCCAGTGAACAATCGTGTGAGGGCTTGTTCCATCGAACTTCGGAGGGTCCATCCGAATGAGCCTTGGCTGATTGGCCCGGGTAGAGAGCGTCTCAACAGTTCTGTTGAGCGCCTCATTACGTGCCTGCTCAAGCCTAAGATCATCCTAAGTCTTAGTGACGGACTCAGCGGTGGCTTGGCTGTTTACCTCGTACGCGTTTCTACGCTGTCCGAGCACAACGCCTCGAATTGCTCCAACTGAGCAACATGTTGCTTAAGAGGACAATTTAGGAAATTAATCAGGACTTTTTCACCAAGTCCCTGCACCAAGTGCTCTGCCACCTTCCTATTATGTTGGGAGAGGTGAGGAAATTACCTCAATCCACGTAGAGGGTATCCGTATCCACACGCACGCTCAGAGAAACGGGTCGTGGGAAGGACTACTAGTGCTACCAAGTGTAGGCGGGCGCTTCAAAAAGAAGCTGCCACGTACTACGCGGGCATACACCTTCAGCACAAGCGAGGAAGCGGTTGAACCGTCTTACCTCCACGTGCGGTGGTGGTGGTGGTCGGCTCTTGAAGCGCAGTACTAAGCGTTGCGGTTGCTTAAAGCGATACGCGTACCGAACTTCTAAACAAGTGCTTCACTAGCGCCGCGCAGAAGCTTATTCAGCTTTTCGTGGGCAGTGAGAAGTAATTAGCAAAATGAAGACTGACTCGTATCGAATAGAAACATCATTAAATATAAATCTAACTACTGATTGGTTAATAATGCAAAATTTGGATGCGCGCCTCTTTAAATGCGTATCCCTACGTGAGAGCTTCAAATATATATAAGCTCGCTGATGACGTCCGTCTGTGATGTCGTCATGACGCCTAGTCCCACTTGGGCGTCATCTCCGTCGAATGTGAATCCATCAATGGATATCACATTCACGAGGGTAAGTCGCATTGCCGTGCCTTATTTAAGTGGAAGGTCTAAGGGTACGTGGTACCCTTTTAGACCTCCTCGTAAAGTATCATATACGCTACGGACTCGTGTAACTATCGGCTCGTTACAACGGTCTAACCGCTTTTTCGTTTGTACAGAAGGTGTGTGTGCTTATAGCACGTGGCAGCTTGCATAAGAGCCCGTGTACATGTCACGCTCCCTCCCACCTCCTCGAGCGACTGCATGTTCAAACAAAGCAATTTCAATTCAGCTGCTTGTAGTCAGCTTGTAGTCATATAGGATGGCCTTTTAATACAATAATGTATTTCTAAGGAAGTGCAATTATGTCTTCCGTCAGATCGCGCCCCGACTACCTCTTTTTTTATTCACACTAAGTTTAATCTTCCAGCTGTCGTTAAACAGCAGTGCTCATTTCGAATAAAGGGATTTAAACTTGTGCAGGGGCGGTCTCAAAAAGTCGTTATAAGCTTGATCTTTGACACGTGAGCAGCAAGCAAGTGGTCGGACGAGGTCATATCATTCTCAAGCTATGTTTATATAGATTTTTACATCACTCTAGATCTTGTGCGAGCCATTATGGCTGCTAGCCATGATGGCAAGGTGTGCGATGGCAAGGTGCGTGATGGTAAGGTGCGTGATGGTAAGGTGCGTGATGGCAATCTGCGAATAGAGCTAGCTTTGCATCCCAAACTATAAATATTCTCGTGCGATCGAGGAGCACACGCTACATCTCTGCTATCTAGATCTAGTGGGCAAGGCATCGTGATGTTACATCGACAATGTCATTAGTCAGCTCTGATGCGGATACGATATCTGCTGTGTCATTTAGCGTGCATGATGCAGCAATCGTTCGAAAATTCTTATAAGCGTCTGTCCGGCCTAAAATCGACATGGTATGATGCGCTTTGATGTACTCTGGGGCAACAGCACATTTCGATCATTCGCTTTATTCATCATTTTTCTCAATTCTGAGACAAAGATTTGCTGCGCGGCCGTAATAAATTTGCAAATTTATGGTCAAATCTTCACCAAAATAACAAAGAGGCCCTACAGCTTATACGTGCACTCGACCCACATAAAACTCAGTCGCCATCATACTGACATTACTGTGTCGTAAATAAAAAGATGAGACTAATCAAGCCTGAATTGTGGAGTAATCGCCTGCATCCCGCCTTTAAATCTCTACCCGCCTGTCTTCCGACGATTGACATTGAGGTGAAATGGTCAACAAAAAACAAGCGAGTCAAATCGCATCATCGGATGCCAACAAGACATCAGCTTCCATGCCAGACAAAGCACGGGCTCCTTTGGCACACGACGCATCGTACCAGAGACGTGCTCGACCCAGAAGTGCGCGATTTGCCGCCAAGCATTCGCCATTCTGCAACCTGCTCACAGCTCACCAGCGACGACGCGCCTTTAGCGAAACGTCGGGTGAGTTCAACAATCTGCTGGCCCTAGAGAGGAGTACGGCCAAATCGGTCAAGGTGTTCCGTGTTGAAGTTCGAGGCATTCTACATGGCATCTTCTTCGTCCTGTTGCTGCGCTTCCTGCTGGTGCTTTTGGCCGCTGTGGTAACGCTTGGTTTTGCCGTTGTGCTAATCATTATGATCAAGGAGCCGCACGTATCGCTCACAAACTATTTGAATTCTATTCGTGAAAGGCTTTGATCTTGTTAACGCCACATTCGCTCAATGACACTCGAATATGATGGCTAATAGTATTTATTGGGTAGGCGCTGGGGCCCGCTTTAAGACGAGTGCCACTGCTTTCGAGTTTTACATCGTAGGGATAAGAGCTGCTTTGTGAATAAACTTCGTTGCATCATACGGCATCTATAGTCACGATGAGGCATATTACATGTACGATCTTACAATTGAAGGTGTTACGTGAGATGTATAGCAGCATTTATCGATTAATCTTGCGCGCGTGACAGCTGTAAGAGCCTGTTGGCAACACACTTCGTAACAAAACTACAGCTTAGATGCCATCACGACTACCTTTGCCACGACGACCGTGATGTCGTCCGGCTTAAGGTTGTGGCGGAGTGAGGCCAACACAATGTTCTCAGCAGCCTTGTCGGGGTTTTCCGCAATTATTTCCACAAAGGAAGCAAGTTCGCCCGCCCAGTACCGTCGCCAGGAGAGCACCGGCTGTAGAAAACACACACAGCAACAATAAGGTTAGCATTACCACACACACACCCTTCTGTCCGGTACGTCATACCGGAAATCGCGCTTGCGTCTTTTCGAGGTCAGGTGCAAAATTGTCCCACACGCCATCGGTGGCTAGCACAACTATATCTCCGTCTTGTACATCGATTTCGCCCGAATCCGCCTGGACCGTCGGAACAAACAGACGTCAAGACATTTTTTTTGTTCGAGCACAGAAAAAATCTCCTTCTACATCGACGTACATCATCAGGGTGGTTCTCAATGGCACCAAATTGCTTAAATCGCAGCGGTATCTTTGCCAATTGATAGGGCGCACGTCCATAATACTGCATCAAATACAACATAGCACGACTTACTCAGTAGACTGCAACACTCTGCTCACTCGATATTCAGTCCACCACTAACCTGAAATTTACTTCGAAAGATAATTTGGCCATTGCGGATTACTACAAAGCCCGAGTCTCCAAGGTTCGAGTACTCGAGCACTGGCTTGAAATCAATCGACTGCTTCAGTCTCACAATGCACGCAGTCGTGCTACCAGCCTCTACTTCATCATCCAACACTGCTTTATTGTAACCATAAGCCAGCACCTCTTGTGTTGAGGCACGATCATTTTTTTCCGTCTGCTGTCGCACAAACGCGGCCGCATTATGCATCAACGAGCGTGAGATTTTACCCGGATCGACTCCGTTCTCATTCCATCCGCCAACGCCATCAGCTACCCCCACAACATCAGGCGTGAGAAAAAACGAGTCTTCTCCACATGTGACAGGATTAGATCCAATGCCAGTATTGTCCGTGCCTAGAGCACAGCGCTTGCCTTTGCAGGCGGCCTTGGCATCTAGAAAGAAGGAGGCGGCACTGGCCACGCGCTTGTTGCCGTCCGAAGCTGTTTTTTTAGCTGAAAAGTGAAACGATCGACGGTGTGATTGTGCCATGACCGACCGACGCAACGATTGCGGGACGGAAGCGACGGTCGCGCCGCGGCCCAGTCGACGCATCATCATCATCTGAGTGAGTGGAAGCTTTGGGTGGTTTGAGTTTTGACCAATCCACATTGAGAATGAGTGTGATTGGATATAAACGAAACATTTACGCAGTGGCCACCAAAGAAGCGTTTAGACTGTAACAGAGCAACATGTCATGGGCCAAGCATAAGAAAATCCTGGCAATGGCCAAAGGCTACCGTGGACGCGCTAATTCGTGCTACCGTACGGCCATAAACCGCGTAGAGAAGGGTCTGCAGTATCAGTACCGTGACCGCAAACAAAAGAAACGCGTAGGTTCTAGCATAGAGACCAACATTCCGCATTGGGAATAGCATTCGTGATGGTATTTTATTAGTGACTAATTTCAACTTTGTCATCTTAATTTGCTACTATTTGACAGGACATGCGCTCGTTGTGGATTCAAAAAATTAATGCGGGGGCGCGTCAGGAGGGACTCTCGTACTCGAAACTCTACGGCAAGATGAATGGCTCGGGCATTGAGCTAAACCGCAAGGTGCTGGCTGACATGGCTGCAACGGAACCGTTCAGTTTTAAGTCGGTGCTGGAAGTTGTCAAGCACATGAAGAGTGTCACAAAGGCTTTGTAAATAGGCTATTACGTTGGGCATAGGTAAAATTGAGGGAGCTGATGAACTGAGCAATGCACCGCAGACAAGAAAACATCATTGTTGTGCATATTGCACTTGTGCTGCTGGTTGCGTGGATGATAGACAATCGGCGTTCCGATGCAAGACAGTTGTGTGATAAGGAGACTCAGCATTTTATTTGTTTCCGGCTCGTTTTAGCGTCTTTCAACTGTGCGCGGGGCGATGAGACTTCGTCTGATTCACCCATGTTGATGTCATTAAGGGCAGTGACACACTGTCGTTGGTTGACGTGACCCTTGTTCAGGCCTTGCACGAGCTTGATGCCGTCGATTAATGGCCTGCATAATTTCGACATATCAATACTAATACGGGCTAAGTTGGAGACGTGTGGGCGAGTGGCCACTCTTCGAGATTAGCACAACTTGTAAATGTGCTTTAGCCCTTACAAAAGCTGCGTGTACTTGATCATGAGCCTTGCATGCCCAGGTTGATCGGACAAGTGCACATAGAAGTTCATGTAGTTGTCGTATACACTCACGCAATTCACCACTGATGACATTGCCACTGCGTTTGAAGCGGCCGAACATCTTTTGAATGCTTGCTCACTTTTAAATGGCAATAACAATATACAGTATAGTCTACATACCCATCCAGACGAAGAAGGCTTCATTGTTTTTGCAAAAGATCTTGGCTAGTTCTTTGCGGCGTCAGTGTTGTCCGCCTTGGACTACATATGCTTGACCTCATAATGTTGCTATCTGAAGGTTCAAACGGCAAGTGAAAAATTGCGACCAGCACGAACTCAAATAACTATTGTTCTTTTGTGTCAGCATGCAGCCTCGTAAAGCACCTACGATCGACACGTTTCTTTCCTTGCTCTCTCCTCAAAGCCAAAGTTACAAGTCCTCTCCAAAGCGTACGGCCTCCTGGAGTATAGCCAACCACATCTTCTCTACCTAACGACGCAGTAATAGCACTTATGCACCACCCTTGCCGCGGAGAGCGCGCACGCCGCGGCCCATACCGCTAGGGCCTCCCCGGCCTCCCCCCATCATGCCACGCATGCCCTGACCGCCCATGGCGGCGCTCATTGGCGCACCGCCACCAGAGCCAGCTTGCGGCTGCTCCGACTTTGGGTTGCGCACAGTCTCGTCCACTGACAGAATGAGGCATGCAGCCTCCGTTGCTGCCGCAATCGAGTTAATCTTGTTAGCAGCAGGTTCCCACACGTGCGACTCGTACGTGTCACAGATGCCGCCTGTGGTGATATCGACGCCAAACCACTTGCCTTCTTCGGGATCCTTAAAGTGCTTTTGGCGCAAACGGTTCAAAATATCAGTCGCGTCGTGGCCGGCGTTCTCTGCGATCTGGCGGGGGATGATCTCGAATGCCTTGGCGTAAGCGTTTACCAGCAACTGTGCCTTGCCCTCGATAGTACGCGCATACTGGCGCAGATAGCGCGAGACTTCCATTTCAATGGCACCACCACCAGCCACCACCGTTGACGAAGCTACGGCGCGCTTCACGACCATCAGCGCATCGTGCACAGACCGATGAGCCTCCTCGATAAACTGCTCAGCACCACCACGCAGCACGATGGTGGAGCTTTTCGCCTCAGCGCACTCCATAAAGATGTTGTATCGCTCATTGCCAACTTGACGCTCCTCGAAGCGGCCACATGAGCCGAGCACCGAAACGTTCATATCATGAACCGACGTCTGCACCACTCCACCAGTGGCACGTTGCGTACGTTCCATGTCGTCCTGACCAACACGTCCTGCGCAAAAGAGGCCGCGGTCGGCAAAGTACTGCGTCGCTAGGTCACCCACAGGCAGCTTAGAGAGAATAATTTGGGCGCCGCTTTGTACGCACAGATCCAGTTTCTCATAGATAATATTCCACTCAGCGTCCACGATAGACTGGTACTTAGAAGGGTCGTCCAGACGCACTTCAGCGTTTTCCTTCTCTGACTTTAGCTCCAGTTCAACGTTCAGCAGCAAAATCTTTGGGTTTACAAAACTCTTGGGCTGTTGCTCGAAACCGGCATACGAAAACGTCTTTTTGAACGCGACGCCTTTTACTAAAAAGGAATCAGTCACTGAACCGCCCGGTACCTTCTTGATGCCGACCATACTAATGTCCAGTCCATCATCCAGACTTAACACCGCATCGACAATCTACATCGATCACAACAAAAAAGAAGTCAGTCCATGAACAACAAACTCCTTCACCTTTGTACCTACCATTGGAGAGAAGAAGTGTTTGTGGCTTGAAATGAGCTTTGAATTGAGAGCCGTTCCACCAACACGCTCGAGCATCTGACGACGACCAATTTCGTCCGATTCGGCCACACGAATCTCAATCTCTTTGATCTTCTGCACGGCCAGCTGTCCCGCCTTCCGGAAGCTCTTAATGATCATCTGCGGATGCATATTTTCCTCGATAAAGGGTTTAGCCTGACGCATAAACTCAGCACCAAGGAGAACGACGGACGTAGTGCCATCGCCAACCTCTGCGTCTTGAGAGAGCGAGATATCCACGAGCGTCTTGGCCGCCGGGTGCACCACGTCCAGTAGGTTCATGATAGTAGCTCCGTCGTTGGAGATGGTCGTCTTTCCACCTGCATGGATAAGTTTATCCATGCCACGCGGTCCAAGCGTCGTCCGCACAGCCTCCATTACGGCTTGACAGGCATTAATGTTGCTAATGAGTTGGGCCTTGCCCTGACTTGTATCCGTGCCTTCCTTTAGTAATATAATTTGTGGTTGCTACATTAAGAGAAAGAAGAGAGAAAGAGAAATAGAGAAGTTAAAGGGCGAGATAGAAAAGAAGACGCACGAGAGACGCACCATCATGCCGTTCATATTTCTCGATGAGAGTAGGGGCTCACTGACCAAGGAAGATTTGGCGCCACACGGGAATTGTACCCATAAATTGGCTACTGTCACCGAACGTACTCTTAATGTTACAAAGTGATAATACATTCGATCAAGTACGATTTCACATTGGTAAAAAATATTTGTGCCTTTCTAAGCAATTCTACGGTGTGATACTGTAGCGACCATCGATGAGCCAACTGGCCATCACAATAATTTGATTCCACGGCGTTGGTGTATGAGCTTATTTCTTAGCGAAGTAGGGTCAATAAACATATGAACTTGCAAAAGCAAACATGGCGAAGACAGTAATTAATGAGATTGTTATCGATAAGCTTATTGGAAACTCATATCTTTATCGGCCAAGTGATTTAGCTCAAAGTGTTGTGTATTAAGTGAACAGCTGAACGAGTTTGCAAAAAATGGCCCAGCTTGCATGAATAGATAGCACTTCTTGTCAATGGTAACTTTGCAGCAAACTACAAGACCACGATAAGAAGTACCATACATTTAACCGCACCATTGCATTTTTCAGCTTGCCAGGTTTTACTGGCAGATATTCCATGACAATGAAGAACAGGTTGATCAAGGGGCTGCTGTGTATTGTACCTTAAGCCCTGCTTACCACTTTAAATCGCAAACGCCGCCTCTTTCTTCTTCTCCAAGAGTCTTATTTTTTAAGCTGTTGATTTCGGCTCGCAACGCAACTTAGACCCATGCATACTTTTCATTGCCAAGCCAGTGGGGAATAGACGTCTCGGAATCTGCATCGCTTCCGTGATGAAACATCATGGCACTCGATAGCGAGTCCTCACGGTCAACAAACTCAATCTCGAGGTGGCAGCGTACGTCAGCGTGTTGTAAGCTGAAAGAAGGATCCCAAATTGCCACCTTTTTCAGCTTAAATTTGCGTGCTTCCTTCAGTGCTTCGTTCAACAGCATACGCGTGATGTTGGCACCATTTACGGACTCTTCCGGGAAACGAGCACGAACAACGTACAAAGTTGATTCTTTCAAGTTGTGACACCAAAGGATGAAGGCATCTTCATTGAATTTTACGCCACAGTTAGACGGAAGCTCCTCGTATCCTCGAACACGAGCAAAATGCTCACCAATGCAGAACTGCCACTCGATAGAATCGCGAGTCGGCAGCACTACAAATGCCTCTCGCCCTTGAAACTTTTCACTCGCCAGCTCCGTGACCAGCCTTTCGTTATCGGCCTGAAGAATCTCGTCAAGCTTATCATCTATATGCAACGACACCAATTCTGCAACACTGCGCTCAGCTTTGACGTTGCGCGGGTTTGCGACATCGAGTGTAGCCATCTTGGACGGATGCAGCTTCCACCCAAGCTTGTCGTAGTATGTCGGTCCTATATCCGAATACAGCACCGAAACGAATGTCCGTGATTGTTTTTCCAGCTGCTTGGCCACTTCTTTCATGAAAATCTTGGCGAGGCTCCGTTTACGGTACTCTGGCAGTGTAAACACCGACCCAATATGATATGAATAACCTCGTTCAGTCTTCCCCGAACTGCGACGCACAACGCAGTCAAAGCGGTGAGTTTCACAGTGACAATACAGCACTGTCCTACCCGCTACGAGATTCGAGTCTCCCTTGTCCCCCTTGTCGTCCACCAATGCCCAAAAGATGGACCCGCGTCGGGAAAACGGCGTCGCGCGTTGCAATTCTTCTTTGCGTTGATATTGCTTCAAGTTTAGCGTTGGAGATCCCCATTCTTCAAAATCATCCACTTTACATTGAATTTTTAGCGCTTCCTGCGTCAATTGTACCACTCGAAGCTTGGACATCGTCGAACGCAGAATTGAGGAATCCTTCATCCTTAAATAAGTACGATAATAGGTCGAAATAGTCTGAATGGTGCCGTTTGTAGGCAATGAGGCTACGTTGGCGATGGCAGTGAATGTTACAACTTTTATGGTGAGATCGAACAGTAAATTTGTGCGAGCACCGATTGTGAATTAGTCATGGCTGCTGGTGACGGTATATTAGAGAGTCTGCATCGTGGAGCAGTCCTGGTCGATATATTATCAAGCACAACAAAAAAATATATATTCTGAATCGACGAAGTGCTCATGACATCTATTCATACGGAGAGATTTGTTAATAAAGTACTTGCTGCGGTGTGTACTCACGACTCGAAAAGTCCACATTGTGTTGCCGAGTCAAAGTTTTAATCTTCGGTGTTGACGGAAGTGATGGGCTGTCATTTACAGCAAGCAAGTAACAGAGCGACACGGAGGAGATAGTCAACATGGCCTCCGACGTACACAGGTGATGCTAGAGGGTCTATAGAGCGACCACATCCTTAAGCTGTTAAGAAATAAGGTGAAGTGCTTAATGCGTTGGGAATTTTGAGTCGGAAGTATGCAAATAAAATGACTGAAAAATGTGTGTCATTACAGGGGGTAGCAGTCAGAGCTATCTCTGTGACCACTATCGACTGGCGATCTCAGCTTATCACATTTAGTAGGTGGCTCTAACTCGACTCACTCAGCAAAGCTCGCAGCCATGTAAAGTGCCCACGAGCGAGTCAGACCGTCGTCCATCCTGGCTTTCTGCAGAACGCCCATCGCGCGCTGCTTGTCCACCATGGCAAAGTTCGCGTACAGCAGCGAAAGCCACGAGTTGCCCGTGTCCTCGTGCTTGACGATAGTCTCTTTGGCCAGTACCTGCTCCCACTCCTCCTTCACAAACTGCTTGGTGCGCACGAACTCGGTCACGGCCGACACGGGGATCATCTGGATGCCATGAATGCAGTGTTTCTCAGCACTGAACCACGTCGCGTAGTCCACCTTGTTGTCAAAGAAGATGCCCGTGACCTTGTTGGGACGGAAGTTGGCCGGGTGAATTTGGTTCGCGTCTTCGATGAGGAAGTACGTCTTGATGGCGTGCGCATTGACACGCGTCATGAGCTTGCCGACAGCCTCCATGGCCGCATTGTTCGTGACCTTGCCGTACATATACATAGCGAAGGCAAAGTTGACGTCCTCCGACGTGCTCTCCTGGTCCTTGCCATCGGCGAACGGGGTGACGCCGTGTGAGTACGAGTGGCCGCGGAACCAGTCGAACGAGCGAAATCGCGTAAAGAACTTGTCTTCCGGGTCAAAGTTGGCGACGTCGCGCACCAGCAGGTTAACCATGGTGTTGAGTTTGCTGAGATCGCTCCAGTTGGGGTCGAGGTGGTTGATGATGGCCGCCGTGTGTATCCAATAGCCGTAGTGGAAGTGGTGGTCGTTATACATGGTGTTGCCAAAATCCGAGTTCAGGTCTTTCGTCGTGAAGCCCTGCGAGCTCACGATGCCACCGTAAATCTGGTCGTACTGGAGCTTGTGGGTCCAGCTGTTGGCCACAAACGGTGCCATCACATGACGCAGCTTATCCAAACACGTCTTCAGCAGACTCTTGTCACCCCCCACGACCGCCGCGTCGTTTGCAATCAGACACAACGATGCATATTTCTGCGCAGCCTTGCCGTTGAAGTAGTAGCTGCCATCGAGTGGAATGGACCACGCACTGTTGATGTCTTCTCGCAGGTGCTCGGCGATACGCTGCTGTTGAACCACGCCCGATGCAATTTTGCGAGACGGATAGAAGTCTTCAGGTACCTGTTGAGTTTCCTTGATCTCCCAGACAGGATCCACTGATCCACCCGGCGTCGTGAAAGCCTGATAGGCGCCTCGTGTTGTTGAATAGGCCACCATGCCGTCCACCTTGCGGACCCCGCTGCTTGTATTGATGGTCTCAGCGTGGTGCTTCATCGCGAAGTGCAACAGACCACTAGAACAATCCCCCGTCGTCTTCCACTTGAACGCGTAGGAGCTGTCGTCACGTAGGTCGACGTTCGCAGCTTGAACAATGCACGATTTGTGCTGGTCCAACGTGCTCAACCAAGAATCTTCGAGTACGAGAGCAACGCGCAATATGCCGTCGAACACACCAGTACCCTTGAGGGCCGATGTGCCGTCTGCAGTCAGAGTGATCTCCTTCTCACTACGACCGTCGCTCGATAGTGCGTAGACTACCCACTTCTGACCGGAGTTATAGACGATCTCAAACTTGGAACCAATGACTTGACCACCAAGCCGCTGGCCGTTAATGCTAGAGATTGCCGCACTTGACACCAATCTCGGCGTGAGACCCGAGTATTTCATGGAGGCGTACACCATGCCAGAAACGAGTTCCGACACCATGCTGCCACGGGACGAGCTCGCAGTGAACTTCACGGTCACTCCTTGATCAGCCCAGTCGACAACTTGAAAGCTGGGTTTCTGCTGCACGATCTCCTCAGCCGAAAACAGGAACTCTCGAACCATGCCGTGCGCATAATACTTGACGGCGCCGTTGTTGCCGGAGTTACCGCCGCTGAAGCGGCTGCGATATGGGTAACTTGTGGACATGCCAAAGGGGGCCTTGTCAACGACCATCTGTAGCGAGTACGGATTGGACCAAACGGGCTGGATGGCCACATTCGAGTCGTGCGCGATGATGTTGCCCCACCAGTTGTTGGTCGGGATGGCGCGGCTCTTGATCACCGATGGATCGAGGTATTTGGGTGGACATAGACCCATCATCGCTTCGGTGTGCTGGACGAGATGACTAGGCGGTTCCAGGGCTTGAAATCCAGAGGAGACGCCATCACCAACGTTTGAAGTTAATTGGTCTACTGGTGCCGACGAGTTTGCGGCTACACCATTACTAGCGTCAGGTGTGATGTCATTGACCACAGGTGCGAATGTTGGTGCTACGGTGGGTAAGTCATCAGTGAAGCTGAGAGGGGTGTTTTTGTCGATGTCTTGACCGGAAACTTGAGCAAGCTGCAGATGCTGGATAACGGCGCCGATGCCGATGAAAGTTGTCGCAGAGATCTTCATGCTCGTCCAAGATGTAGTCAGGTGCTTTGGTTTGGTTGCGAACAAGTCGCCAAAAGGGAAAGTGAGCTTCAGAAAGCCTCGGGTGCTAGGCAAAACGAAAGGATATCCGTGGCGACCGATCAAGATTGACTAGCGATAGCCAATGTGCCTCGGTGATCGACGATATGGAAGGCATCGTCGAATTAACTCAGAACGGTGTGATGAAGAATATCGCTGACAGCTTTTAAGACACGTCTTCATGTAGTTCTGATTGCTTTAGGCCAGCTCAGACTTAACCAGATCGGCATTTAAGAGCAATCGACAATGCTTAATTCTGATTATTTGACAACTCAACTTCATTCATCAACAGAATCGTAAGGCGTAATTAATGCAGACAACAAAAGAGGTTTGACGTAGTGCTTCCGGCTAGTCCTACACCAAAATTATTTATCTCTGGCGTCGATCCTTTGCCCCGTCAGCATTAACCGTCTATCAAAACGTTTCCTCTTCGATCTCCGCAAATTGCAATTCGCAAACATAGATTCGATCTGTTCAGTCGACCTTAAAGCATCATTATTGTAAGGAGGCCCAGCAATGGACGCAATGTATGTGTGTGACTCCGACTTTCTAAGACGGTTTCACTTATAGGCTCTCGTGGACGAAAACAAGAAGGATTCTACAATAAGCGATGCGTATCTCCTAACGGGTCAAGATCGACTTTGTAGAAAATGCAAGACGCCCCACTTGGGCTGCGTCTAATGCCGAAGGTCCAGGGAGGTCGAGCGTGGCTCTCGTACTTACTAGCTTGAATCAACACGCTCCTGACCTTCGGCCAATTAAGTGCAGCAACTCCTTTGTTTGTTGATTCTCTATTCGTCCTTTGATGTCAGCCGAACATTCTACGACACACTGGGGTGGAAGCTGCATCCGTGTAAGATAGGTTACTTTATCCTCGTAGCAGTCGTAAGGCTAACGTGCTGAGCTTAAAACATTGCTTCCTATAATAAAGGTAGAGAAGTTTCCGGAATAGTGCCGTATTGCGTAAAATAGTGTGTGTGCGTTTCTGATCTCACTACGAGTGGAAGTTATTAATGTCGTGCACTAGGTTCGAGTAGAAGGGTTTGATGAGCTGCCTCGTCATCGTCATTGACAAAGATTTCGTGATCTGGTGCCACAACTTAAAGACAACCAGAACGTGACAACGTATCTTGTTGGTTCGTGATTTTCAGAATCCCGACATACTGCGACGAGGCGTTGCAGGAAGCGTGTAAGTTCAAGTTGAAGAAAGCTCTGATCTGGGAACCGCCGTCTGGTTTGGATGCGAACCTTGATTTTGATAGAACGTAAACTCTCGCTATTGAGCATCACGGTATCCGAGAACCGAATACAAGGACTTACGACATCGCTGCCTCACTGGTTCAGCAACTAGTGTCGGGATTCCAACTAGGCTGCGTTAGGATATTGAGGAAGTAGAGAAGGTAGGATAGCGATTCGCGTAAGTGATAATTTTCTTAATATCTGTACTCAACAAATTATTTGAAACAATTAGGCATCATCAATCGCAATAGAATCGAAAATACGCCTCCTCGTTGCAAGATTTGACAGCAATTGCAAGAATTATATTTTACGCCCTTCTGTGTCGATGCTCAGTTTACGCAGATCTGAGTCAGCTCCAGATTGTCCAAGCATCGTCAACGCAGACTTCAACTCCGCTATGCCTCAAGTCGCATGCCTTCCTGAGTATATCGGTCTAAGCCTCTTGACGCACGATCGCTAGTCAATCCTGATCGGTCGCCACGGATATCCTTTCGTTTTGCCTAGCACCCGAGGCTTTCTGAAGCTCACTTTCCCTTTTGGCGACTTGTTCGCAACCAAACCAAAGCACCTGACTACATCTTGGACGAGCATGAAGATCTCTGCGACAACTTTCATCGGCATCGGCGCCGTTATCCAGCATCTGCAGCTTGCTCAAGTTTCCGGTCAAGACATCGACAAAAACACCCCTCTCAGCTTCACTGATGACTTACCCACCGTAGCACCAACATTCGCACCTGTGGTCAATGACATCACACCTGACGCTAGTAATGGTGTAGCCGCAAACTCGTCGGCACCAGTAGACCAATTAACTTCAAACGTTGGTGATGGCGTCTCCTCTGGATTTCAAGCCCTGGAACCGCCTAGTCATCTCGTCCAGCACACCGAAGCGATGATGGGTCTATGTCCACCCAAATACCTCGATCCATCGGTGATCAAGAGCCGCGCCATCCCGACCAACAACTGGTGGGGCAACATCATCGCGCACGACTCGAATGTGGCCATCCAGCCCGTTTGGTCCAATCCGTACTCGCTACAGATGGTCGTTGACAAGGCCCCCTTTGGCATGTCCACAAGTTACCCATATCGCAGCCGCTTCAGCGGCGGTAACTCCGGCAACAACGGCGCCGTCAAGTATTATGCGCACGGCATGGTTCGAGAGTTCCTGTTTTCGGCTGAGGAGATCGTGCAGCAGAAACCCAGCTTTCAAGTTGTCGACTGGGCTGATCAAGGAGTGACCGTGAAGTTCACTGCGAGCTCGTCCCGTGGCAGCATGGTGTCGGAACTCGTTTCTGGCATGGTGTACGCCTCCATGAAATACTCGGGTCTCACGCCGAGATTGGTGTCAAGTGCGGCAATCTCTAGCATTAACGGCCAGCGGCTTGGTGGTCAAGTCATTGGTTCCAAGTTTGAGATCGTCTATAACTCCGGTCAGAAGTGGGTAGTCTACGCACTATCGAGCGACGGTCGTAGTGAGAAGGAGATCACTCTGACTGCAGACGGCACATCGGCCCTCAAGGGTACTGGTGTGTTCGACGGCATATTGCGCGTTGCTCTCGTACTCGAAGATTCTTGGTTGAGCACGTTGGACCAGCACAAATCGTGCATTGTTCAAGCTGCGAACGTCGACCTACGTGACGACAGCTCCTACGCGTTCAAGTGGAAGACGACGGGGGATTGTTCTAGTGGTCTGTTGCACTTCGCGATGAAGCACCACGCTGAGACCATCAATACAAGCAGCGGGGTCCGCAAGGTGGACGGCATGGTGGCCTATTCAACAACACGAGGCGCCTATCAGGCTTTCACGACGCCGGGTGGATCAGTGGATCCTGTCTGGGAGATCAAGGAAACTCAACAGGTACCTGAAGACTTCTATCCGTCTCGCAAAATTGCATCGGGCGTGGTTCAACAGCAGCGTATCGCCGAGCACCTGCGAGAAGACATCAACAGTGCGTGGTCCATTCCACTCGATGGCAGCTACTACTTCAACGGCAAGGCTGCGCAGAAATATGCATCGTTGTGTCTGATTGCAAACGACGCGGCGGTCGTGGGGGGTGACAAGAGTCTGCTGAAGACGTGTTTGGATAAGCTGCGTCATGTGATGGCACCGTTTGTGGCCAACAGCTGGACCCACAAGCTCCAGTACGACCAGATTTACGGTGGCATCGTGAGCTCGCAGGGCTTCACGACGAAAGACCTGAACTCGGATTTTGGCAACACCATGTATAACGACCACCACTTCCACTACGGCTATTGGATACACACGGCGGCCATCATCAACCACCTCGACCCCAACTGGAGCGATCTCAGCAAACTCAACACCATGGTTAACCTGCTGGTGCGCGACGTCGCCAACTTTGACCCGGAAGACAAGTTCTTTACGCGATTTCGCTCGTTCGACTGGTTCCGCGGCCACTCGTACTCACACGGCGTCACCCCGTTCGCCGATGGCAAGGACCAGGAGAGCACGTCGGAGGACGTCAACTTTGCCTTCGCTATGTATATGTACGGCAAGGTCACGAACAATGCGGCCATGGAGGCTGTCGGCAAGCTCATGACGCGTGTCAATGCGCACGCCATCAAGACGTACTTCCTCATCGAAGACGCGAACCAAATTCACCCGGCCAACTTCCGTCCCAACAAGGTCACGGGCATCTTCTTTGACAACAAGGTGGACTACGCGACGTGGTTCAGTGCTGAGAAACACTGCATTCATGGCATCCAGATGATCCCCGTGTCGGCCGTGACCGAGTTCGTGCGCACCAAGCAGTTTGTGAAGGAGGAGTGGGAGCAGGTACTGGCCAAAGAGACTATCGTCAAGCACGAGGACACGGGCAACTCGTGGCTTTCGCTGCTGTACGCGAACTTTGCCATGGTGGACAAGCAGCGCGCGATGGGCGTTCTGCAGAAAGCCAGGATGGACGACGGTCTGACTCGCTCGTGGGCACTTTACATGGCTGCGAGCTTTGCTGAGTGAGTCGAGTTAGAGCCACCTACTAAATGTGATAAGCTGAGATCGCCAGTCGATAGTGGTCACAGAGATAGCTCTGACTGCTACCCCCTGTAATGACACACATTTTTCAGTCATTTTATTTGCATACTTCCGACTCAAAATTCCCAACGCATTAAGCACTTCACCTTATTTCTTAACAGCTTAAGGATGTGGTCGCTCTATAGACCCTCTAGCATCACCTGTGTACGTCGGAGGCCATGTTGACTATCTCCTCCGTGTCGCTCTGTTACTTGCTTGCTGTAAATGACAGCCCATCACTTCCGTCAACACCGAAGATTAAAACTTTGACTCGGCAACACAATGTGGACTTTTCGAGTCGTGAGTACACACCGCAGCAAGTACTTTATTAACAAATCTCTCCGTATGAATAGATGTCATGAGCACTTCGTCGATTCAGAATATATATTTTTTTGTTGTGCTTGATAATATATCGACCAGGACTGCTCCACGATGCAGACTCTCTAATATACCGTCACCAGCAGCCATGACTAATTCACAATCGGTGCTCGCACAAATTTACTGTTCGATCTCACCATAAAAGTTGTAACATTCACTGCCATCGCCAACGTAGCCCCATATCCTAAAAACGGCACCATTTCTCCAGCCAGTGGTTGACATCATGGTCAATGTCGAAGCCTCTTTGCTAACAACTTCCTCCACGGAAGCGTGCACTCGAATAGAGTCTCCGGTGTTCATAGCGATGCCATTCGATCCGCCATTTTGTTATATGTGCAATAGTGATGTTCCCAGCTGGAGACATCGATATCGTCAGCAATTGATCTTGCTTCTCAAAAAGCAGCGCTAGATGTGGTTGCGTGGAGGATGGTGCGTCCGACGTTGCAAAAACACGAGCGCACTGTCCCCCACGACATGCAGAGTTGAGTAGCCGCTAGGCTTCGCTTGTCGAAGACCGTGCACGAGCCCCCAGTATCCAGCGACATGGTTAGTGAGATTTGCAACTTTGGTGCGCATCCAACGCTTACGCGTGTTGTACACCTATGGGATGGTCGTCGACGATGGAGGCCGCAACGACGAAAACTCAAACAGATCGTTTTCCGCAAGCGAAGTGATGAAGGTAAACGTATGTGCGACGACCGAGTGGAGAAGCAGGACTTCCAAGTTATTGCATCAGGTACATCTCTGATCGAGTGGAGAGACATCCGTAAAGTACGGGCTTCTTTCCCGACCAACGCGCAGACGCTGTATCGTTTAAAGAGTAACAACTTCCGCTCAGGAACTGAGCTAGCCAAGATCTATCTTGCCCCTACCCAGCGTGTTTAACATCCTTACCGGCAATGGCTAGTCATATATTTTGGAATTGCTCTAGTGCCGGGCGCCATTGGGGTTATCTACTTGAACGGTGGCGAAAGCTAGGCGATTTGAAGGAGGCAGACCTTCACGTCTGGGTGTTTGGCATGGACCTTCCGGGTATTCTGCATGGGATGCCATAAAAACGCTATCGACCCCGGCGTAAATTAGTCTCGAGTGAAGGACGCGGTTTTTCCAGCAACACGTGAGCTCTGGCGTTTTCTTGTTTCAACGACATTACATTCCATCTGGGCTGAGCGTCTCCGCCGCTTGGAAGACTTATCTTTGCCACAGGAAGTACACAACGCAAGAGCCAGGACACAATTTCGACGAGCGGTTACTCGGTTTCGAAGTTCAACATACCAGCCGGACGTGGAAGTAGACGGACACCTGTTTGCACGAGTACGGTCGGCGCTTGCTGATACCCTCATCGGCTTTGACAATCCACCTCCCTTGCGACCGCTACTGTAGACGGGCACTTCTACGAAGTTGCCTCGTACTACTAGCACACACACCTTCAGCACAAGCGAGGACGCGGTCAGACCGTCTTACCTTCGCGTGCGAGCATGGTTATGCGGTTGGTAAGTCGTACCACCAGTTGCCTCTCGCTTAAGCGAGAGTGCAACGAACTTCTAAGACAAGAAGGCACCGACGTCTCGTAGAAGCTTTTCGGCTTCTCGTGCGTGGTGCTTTTGATTTAGCAAATTCAAGACTGAGCTATGTTTAATTAATTATAACTAAATATATACTTAACTACTGATTGGTATATAGATCGGATACGCGACTCTTTAGAAGCGTATCCTGACGCATGAGCTTAAATCGAGATTTAAGCTCGCTAATGACGTCCTTCTGGGACGTCGTGATGCCTAGCTTCAACTAGCGTCATCCCTTCCCATGCGAATCCATAAATGGATATCACATTCACGAGGGTGGATCACATTTGTGTATCGCACCCAAGTGACAGGTCAAAAGTAATCATAGATACTTTTAGATCAAACATTAAGTATATTAATTAATGTTTGTGTGTAACTAGATGCCCTGTTACACCATTCCCCGTTTAGAACAAATTTTATATTTTGTTAAACATCGCCTAGGAGACAGAGAGACTTGCGAGCCGTTATAAACGCGCCGCTTTAGTCTACTCAGTTCTCATGCCACCGAAACGTGGTAAGGCTGATGGGTCGCCTGCAAAGGCACCCATGCAGTCCAGCACTAAGCGCACGCGCCGCAATTTATCGCAGCCGTCGCAAAGTGCTTCAGGCACTGAGGTGAATCTACCATCTCACCATAATGTGGATGAAGATCCATCTCTCATTGTAGATTACAATGAGACTACATTGCCATTGCCATCACCCCAAAGTGGCGATGAGCAAAGCGCATTGATGGGACATATGTCCCATCATTTGAGGCACCCGTCCTTGAGGAAGCATACAAGCAAAGGTAAAACCTCGTCGTCTGCGCCTACGAGCGCAGCGACTAAGACTGAGCACGCTACTTCAAAAGGAGTAGTCGCGACTCAGTCAGATGTGACTTCTCAAGCTGATGTCTTGACAATCCATAATGGAGAGTCAGACTGAGCTGAAAGCTCCACCGAGTACACCTTCGGCCTCACTAGCCCACCGTCGAGAGGGCGGCTACGTGAGTGGTGGCTTGCCACCAATGCCACCTCCATCTGAGTGGATGAAATCGGATAAGTCTAGCGCAGCGCTTTTGCAGCGTGCAACTATAGACGCTCATAAGTTTTATAGCGTCTTTCCCTTGTGGAAAAAGCAGGGCAAAGCACTTGGTCATGCTTTCCCAATTCCAGTCTTGCTGCGTTCTAACGAAACAGCCGACGAATATGAAGCTGAACTTCGGCGCCGTGTAACTTTGCAGGAAGATGTTACGAAACAACGGTCGCAGCGAATCAGCTTCGCCATGAAGCGTGCGCATGAAATTTTGGGTGGTAAGCGACCCCCAATTGATTTTCCCACGCTTCTTCTGCTAGTCCTTCCGGACCTAGCAGAAAGACGACAGCTAGTGCTGCTTCACATAAGCAGCCACCAGCCCAGGCACGTCGACGCGCAAAGTATCAACAGGCTACCATGAGTCAAAGCTCGTTGGGTAACCCTTCCACTGGAACAGGATTCGGAGCTTTCGCTTGACAAACGGTGGGCCAACAGCCTTCCAACAAGGAAGCGCGTATTCCCTTCCGTGTCCACCAACACAGGTGGCGCCCGATAGGAGCGGCGATTACGCCCACCTACTCGCGGCTGCTTACCCTGCTGCTGTTCAGTCGCAGGCTGAGTCCGCTGCGCTGAAGAGGCAGGTGACAGATCTCGAGAGTCAAGTCTCGCGACTGAACTCGGATCTGCGCGATGTGAGGACGAGAGACCGTCAGGAGTATGACCACCTGAAGACCCGTTTGGACATCTTAGAGCGACTGGTGATGAGAGACCCGCGTCAAGCGCGTAGTCCTCCTCGATCACCGAGTCCTCTATCGCCTCGTTCATACACGGGGAGCCTCTCGGCTTCCTCGTGGCCTGATCGGCCGCGACGCTCGACACACAGTCGACGTCACCATCGGTCTCGTTAGACCAATGTAGATATGTGATCTCTTCTGGATCAACATACCGTTTCAGAAGACCCACGTAGAATACGGGGTGCGTCTTCATATACGGTGGGAGAGTGAGCCTATAATTTAGGTATCCAACTTCTTTAACCACTGTAAAGGGCCCAATGAATCGGGGCAATAGCTTAGTAGTACCACCAGGTAGTACAGAAATTGCATGTTTAGGTAGGGTAGCAATACTTGAGAGCAATTCGTCCCCAACACTAAAGTGTTCATTGTTTTTGCGATCATGCTGGTCTGCATATTGTTTTTGATTGTCCTGTGCGCTTGCCATCGCGTCACGGACTTTACGTGTGATGGCTAATCGCTCATCCACTAAGCGCTGAGCTTCGCTCACGCTTTTAGCATCCAGCTCGCCGATGACGCCTCCAAGAGGTCGTTCATGGGTCGATGCTGTTAATAACACTATAGTGTCATCATCAAGGAGCACTGGCATTTCTTGCCGTGACACCTATAGGTGCCGTGACTACTGCTAAATTGGCAGTGTCACTAGGGCAACCTTGGCCCTCTTTGGCGTTCGCACCGAGCGAAGTGAGGGGCCCTCCCCCACTAAGACTCGGGCTGCGTATAAACGAGACTGCGTTCGAGGATGACGCAGTCCGTTAATGTAAAACGGTGTTTCACCCGTACTGGCGTGATCACTGTTATTAATAGCAATCTCCACGAATGGCAATTGCTTGCTCCATTCTTTGGGAGTCGCTATTGTATGCAACACATCCGCCACGACTCGATTGGCCCGTTCTGTTTGGCCATCAGTTTGGGGATGATCAGCGGTTGACATGTGGAGCTTGCTACCCAGCAGCTAAAACACATTTCGCCAAAAACACGATGTAAAACGCGGATCCCGGTCCGATACTATGGACTCGGGCATCCCGTGTAGTCGATACACGTGATCCAGAAACAAGAGGGCAGCCTATTTTCTTGAGATCTTGGTACTACATGGTGCCAAATGCACCATCTTGCTCAGGCTGTCTACAAAGACGACGAGCCCGTCCTGCCATTATGGTCAGGCGGTAAGCCAAACATGAAGTCCAAACTGACCGAC